AAAAACACAAAACAAATCTGTGGCGGTAATATTCCCCGACCTGAGGTTTAATGCCCCGACGACAGGTCTGAGAGCCCGCATAAGAGTCCATACCGACGTCAGCGTCACATAGGCCTAGTATAGGTACAATTTCATTCCCGAAAACTGCACTCACAGACTGTAAAAATTCTTGTCCAAAATAGTATTCCACGACAAGGTTATTGGCTCTTCCCTGGATGGGGTCCGAGTTCCTGGGATGGGGGATTCTGTCACCTGGATACCCCGTTGGCGTTGTCACTGATACAAATCAGTATGGCATAGAGCTGTTGGGGGAATGGGTGGTAATAGATGAAAGCTTGTTTGTCAGTCATACATTATAATTGTTCTTTATAAACGTTTATTTACGATTACGTAGGATGATAGGAAAGGTCCACTGATTAATCTCAGATAAGATAGTATAATGCTCCAAGTATCGAAATGCACGTCATCGTATCGGGATTCAATATTTCGACATTAATTTTGTCATCATCATTCGATACTTGGAGTATGTATTATACTATCCTATAGGATGATAGGCCTATTGAACCACGGGAATGCGTGAGATAAGTGACCTGGGAGAACGGGCACGGAAAGCGCCACAACAATATTTTTTTATAAGTACCGCCGCTCGAATAAGCGCCGCACTGAAGCGGCACTTGTACGAGCATTGGTAAGCAATAATTTTCGGACAGCCCACCCTTAGGACTAAAACACAATTAGCATACACTCCGTACATTTACCTACACGTTTACATTACGTTTACATTGGGTATTTTGTGTATGTTTACTAGGGCTAAGAAAAACCAAAGTTACACAGAATGACATATCAGAATATTTTCAACTATTATTATGTTTCGTTTAAATTTCCCCGATCGTTTTGTAGATATGCGTCCCGTGCCAGCAACCAAAGTGATGCCAAAATCGTCGACAAAATCAACAACACCGGTATATCAGACAACGCATCCATTGAAGAATAAACAATCTCAAATAGATGCTGGTCTTAACTTGTTGATGATTGCTATTATATCGTCAATTGTCGTGATCGCAATCCTTATAATAATAACTTTCTTGTTTATCCTACGTAGAAAGAAAAAGAAACAACCAGGGTAATAATGCTAGTAAATATACTTGCTCAATTTGATATACATCTAATGATTGTTCATATCATCAAAGAATTGCGTTAAATGTTAAATGTAATGATAGGCGTAACAGGTCTGCTTAAGATATACGGTAGTATTAATACTTACAGCATGTTCAGTACGATATATAATTAAGTAATGCCTATGTATAAATGGATAAAATAACGAGAAATGTTAATTTACCTTTTTGCAGATTTTATTTAGTGATTTACTGCTTGTATTCATTTGTATTTTAGGGTTTCAGGTAATCCCAGTAATCATTTACCTTCTACAGACCTACCAATCGCGGACGGACAGCAAGATACAGGTACCGTTACGTAAATATACACAGAATAGAAAGTTTTCAAAATAGGAAATATGACGTAAATGGATACGCAACTGTTCCATGTGTTTGTTGATGGTGGAAACATTGAGATCTTCCATCTGGTTCTATTGAAATACAGATTAGAGCATACCCTGATTTATAAAAAAGACATCGCCGATATGCACAATAGCCTATAGTAAGTAAAACAGTACCGTATAGGAGTACAATCTTCGAAAAAGAAAAACAAATATTTTTTTCTGCTGCATCAATGGTGTACCGTACGAGGGGTTGTGCTACTCTACGGCTACCGCAGTTCCACATAAACTCACATACCCCTTTCACCAATCTTGGCTCCTATACTTCACTACACAATTCATCATTTTACAGTATACCTTTTGAATGAGTATTCCCATACTCTACTGAGACAGGCTGTCTTATTTTTAACTTGATTTTAGACTCATTCACTGTGGGCTACATATCTGAACGCGTTCTTGACTAATACCACATGTCATAATGATGTAGCTTTAGATCTACATGCTAGGCATGTAGGCCTAATGCATGTTTTATAATTAGTTTCATTTTTTTAATTATCAATCTTAGCTACCGTCTCTTACACCGATGGTGTTGCTGTCCATGAGTATTCAACAGCAGAAAATCTCAATCAAGATCAGAATGATGAGGCTTGTGAAATACTTGATGACATACACAACAACATACACTCACCACCTGTAACACTAGCTGCAGATGATGCATATGCTGTTCCATATAATGACGTAGTAGAAAAAGATGTCACGCGAGATGAAGATGGTACGCTCATTGTCGAAGACATGGATTCGATAGCTATGAAACAAAATGGATTAGGTGCTGTTATGTATGCCGTACCGAATAAAGGCCCAAAAGGACGAAAAGAGAAAGTAAAGCAAAGTATATACGAAGCCGACGATACACTTAATGTACAATACGCTGACATACAACAAGCGTCGGATCAGTGGAGAAGAGAGCCATATGGCGCGTCGCACGGTGCATCATATGAAAATGTAAACGCACAATCTCTCCAAGAAAGAAACCATGATTCCATTAGCGATACTGACATTCATTCAGGCAATGAAAATCCTGGTAACGAATACAATGTTCCTTATAAGCACCCGGCTACAGGTGATCGTCAACAAGATCATGACGGCTCCTACAATATGCTAAATATAGCTGAAGTTCATTCTAAGTCTGGAAAACACAACATGGGTTCAGCCAACGACTCTGGCAAGCTGAATGCTGGAGATCATATGCCGCCAGAAGACAACATGTATTCGTATGTGGAGACTTCGGTAGGTGAGGCTAATGCTTATGACAAACTTCAGCGCAATACAGAATTGGTGCCGCTTTAATAGAAAACAACCCGTAGATCGTTCATTCATGTTCAAATGTACTTATATAAAAAGAGGCTTTTCAAAGACAAGAATGCACTCAAGGCATTTTGTTCGTCCCTCCTACCACCCCAGTTCTCTATTGGAGATGCGTTAGGCCGCAAGTTATCACATATATTCTGGGGCGTTGGGCCTAAGTTATTTACCTACGGTTTCACTTTACAATGCAGGTATATCAAGAAAAACTGTTGGTACTATGTTATACCGTTGAAATGTTATGTTTTACATTTAAATACAACTCTCTTTACTTTCATTAACTATATAAATATATAAATATATAAATATATTGCATATTCATTTAGAATCTTTTTAATTTTACATCTCGAATTTCAATGGTGCAGGTAGGCCCTAATCATAACTTTTTTGCCATTTTGTGTTAATTGTATTACTTTTTTGGTTGATTAAGTGTAGCCTATATTAATGTAACGATTTGTTTCATATGTTTATTTATTTCTACTCTTTTACTTATAAAACGTCCCATTTAAATCGTCGTATGATATACATATATCGATTATATATTAATGTTTCCTTTATATTGTATGTTTTAAAATATATATATTTGATTTATATATTTAAATAGTAGAGTTATGTGATAAAGCTTTACTACTACTATTTTAATTAAATTTATTCATATTTATTGATTATATATTTTGTCATTAAACATCTGATCATTAATAGGACATTATTACCTTCCTTTGTGTTTTAAAAATCTTGATTGTGTGTTCAAGGTAATTTTTAAATTTATATATATATATATATATATATATATATACTGATATATATACAGTATACTGATATATATACAGTATACTGTATATATTGTATATGTATATATATTATCTCATCAATATCTTAGAAAATAATATGATTCCCCTTTGTATTAATTTACATACCGTATTTAATAAACGCTCTGATTTGAATAAACTCCCCCACGAGTAAACTCCTCCTCTAGAGCCACATTTCAAATAAACGCCCCTTCCCACACATGACTGTAAACAAATCTAATAGAATTCTCAACAGATTATATTAATGTTTTACTACAGTTGACACTTTTTTATTCTTTATGGACATGCAAAACACATTTTGACGGGAATTATGTGTTGTAGTTCCACATTTGAATATCTATAACTTATCAATTTTACACAACAAAAAACAAAATGCCTCTCGAATAAACGTCTCTCTCGAATAAGTGCCCCCTAAAAAAACTTCTCAACAATTAATAAACATCCCCGGGCATTTATTTGGTATTTATTTGGTAGAATAGTATTTCTGTATATTGACTATTTTTTTAACATAATTAATTATTAAAAATTGTATGTATGCAATCAATCTATAAGCCTATGTAAACTATGCGATTTACTATTGTACTATTTTTATGGTTCTCTTTCTCGTAATGCGTCCATTATGTGAGTTTTGTATATCAATTTATATAATGTTATATCGTTTTATGTTGAACAGTTTTCTTTTGTAAATTTTCTCAGTGTTAATATATTTTATGAATAAATCAGATTGAATTAATGAATGCTGTCGTATCTCGAGATTCTCGTTTATGACAATAAAGACATGTTTTACTTTGTTTTATTAATAAAATGGTAAGTATAATAATTGCCTATAAATGTTTTCTAGCTTATATTATTATTGGTGTCTAACCCAATTGAGTTATGGTACCAAGTGGTGTACACCCTACCCTAGGATTTTACTATTGAGGCATGTTTTTTTTTAAGGTCGTGTTGTGTAATACGCAATGAATACTCACACGATAGAAAAACTATATATTTATATATTCATAACAGTAACTTGTTACAAAATGGGAAATGTTTTACATATCCTAAGTTTTTAAGTCGTGTGTGGAAAAAGTAGGCATAAGCCTTAATCCTTCATTTTGGAACATTAAACATGTGGTGAGGAAGTTCAATGGCATACCGTAATTATAATGACTAAAGAGTGTAGCAAACCTTTGAGCATTTAGTTGGACGGGTGGCCACATCGCAAAGCACCAATAATAAGTGATTTAATAACATTTAATAAACAAAAGCCACAGGACAAGAAAATGACATTGAAAGCACGATAGTTGGCATACAAACCCGTAAGAGGACTACTTGTTTTGGAAACGTTTTTTGAAGGCAATAGGCTTATTATTAGTAGTATAGACAAGAAGACATTCAACGGACATTCAAAACCAAACCTAGCCTACATTTAATAACAATAGACACAGCCTGCCTAACATCGAAAGCCTGTGTTGTTTAATTTCGGATATAACAAAAGCAGGCACATCATATGATTTTTGGGGTAACTTCCTTGTTTAACTTTCATACTATTCTCATACTTGTGAAGCAGTATGCAGCAATGGAAGAAATGCATCCTGGTCCTTGCTTGGAATATGACGATTATAGTGGCACAGTGTCCTTCGTAAGTTTTTTTTTTCTCAATAATTTTTTACAGAGCTAAGACAATTAGAAGGCGAAAGCGTTTTTGATCTTAGAGATTCATGATCATCATACGATTTTTTATTGACCATCATATGATTTATGAATCTAGGCCTAGTAGGCCTGGCTGTGTGTTGAAATAAAACTCACAGTAAACTAATGGTTCAACTTTCTTGTAGTGTTTTTCTATACTTTACACTATAATCTGTCTCTTATACACATCTAGATGTGTATAAGAGACAGTTTATTCGCTTCGCCCGCTTACCCTCTGGTATCATCGGAGATCTAAAGATGCAATCTCTACCGTGCATTAATGGCGACCCTTTGGATCTCAATAGAGATTCTTTACTGTTTAATAATAATAATATAAATTTAAATAGGCAAATTTCCACGAATAAGTGCTGTCTGTAAGAACGTCGTAGGACGCGTTAAGTGTGACAAAGTATTCTCTGTATTTACTGGAACCGAGCCGCATAGCTTGTGTTCCACTGTTTGCGTTCACACCTGGGCTGTTATATTTCCTTGGTTTGGCTCTGTAATCATTAGTGTTCGTGGGGCTAGTATGGGCCCTGCCTAAGCTGGTCGAACGATTTGTCTGGGTCTGTACCCTAGCTGCACTGATGAGGCCTTTAAGGCCGTGTGTGTGTATAAGATATGAACATATTTTGCGTTAGTTTTACATAATTAACAAGAATTACTCTGTTTTCAGAAAGTGATGTTTATGAATCACCGAACTGCTACAAATTTATAAGAAAAACTCTCGGAAAAAGTTCATGTATTCATACTCAGCGTGAATGCGAACAAGTAGGCGGGAACATCGCCGTAATAAACAGTATCGACGAGTACGAGCAGTTGACAGTTAATGTGCTGTCAAATTCATTATGGAAAAGAAGTACCTTTATTGTTCAAGTCAAAAATCTCCAACACGATGACTTAAGTATGCCTACTGGATGCGCAAGAATTAGGATAGAAAATGGACCTATTAATGATGATGTAGACATAAAAAGCACTAATTGCTCTACAAATAAACGGATGAACACTATCGTTTGCGAGTCTCTGGGTAAGCACCTCTATAATTTAGGCGGGGGGTTATGTCCATGGGTGGTGAGGGAGATGGAGAGTCACCTCCCAATTGTCATTGTTATGTGCGCATGGCCGGCGAAAAATATATAATGTCTGGAGATTTTTGTATGATTGGAAAGAAATGCAAGAAAAGAAAGTGGGAAGGAGGAGGAGAAGGATGGGAAAAAGTATGTTTATCCAGTCCCCGACCGAGTTACATTTTCTCGCAATGTATGTGTATACACACATAAAATAAGAAATAAGAAAAATTTACCGGACCGTTTTCAAGAGGGGAAAACCTTGAATTTTGAAGAGCTTAAAAAGTCATTTCAAAGACATTTCAGAAGTCAGGAAAGCTCATTTCCCGCATTCTAGAAATCGAAATTTTCCCGGGGGAACCCAGACCACATTTGTTCTTTGGCGTTCATTGATTCATTGAATCATTTTCAAGAGGGGGAAAACCTTGAAATTTGAAGAAATAAAAAGTAATTAAAAGACACCTCAGAAGTCAGGAAAGCTCATTTCCCGCCTTCTAGGAATCAAAATTTTCTATCTGCTGTAATAACAATGGGAAAAATTTACCTGACCGTTTTCAAGAGGGGAAAACATTGAATTTTGAAGAACTTCAATTAAAGTCGCTAAAAGATACTTCAGAAGTCGGGAAAGCTCATCCCACCATTTAAAAATCAAAATTTTCCCGGGGAGAACCTGAACCTCCCTTTTCTCTTTAGGTTCATTGATTCATCATAATAATTTTCAAGAGGGGAAAACCTTGAATTTTGAAGAACTTAAAAGTAATTAAAAGACACCTCAGAAGTCGGGAAAACTCATTTCCCGCCTTCTAGGAACCAAAATTTTCCCCTTTTCTTTGGAGCTTATCGATTCATTGAAAAAAGTATACGTATGCAACTACTCATTTTTTTTATGCATGTATACACACATAAAGGCCTATTTCCTGTAATAACAATGGGAAAAAATTACCTGACCGTTTTCAAGAGGGGAAAACCTTGAATTTTGAAGAACATAAAAGTAATTAAGACACTTCAGAAGTCGAAAAAGCTCATTTTCCGCCATCTAGGAATCAAAATTTTCCCCCATTTCTTTGGAGCTTATCGATTCATTGAAAAAGGCCAATTTACCTGACCGTTTTCAAGACGAACTTTGAAGAACAAAGTCATTAGACACCTAGCTCAAAAGTCGAGAAAGGTCATTTCCCGTCATCTACAGTAGAAATCAAAATTTTCCCGGGGAGGATCCCCTTTCGTATTTGGAAAAAATGTTGACCCCCAATCCCCTAGGTTTGATTACAGATCTACGTGATTCATACTCCCGTTCATCTTATAAGTGGGCCCTCCGACTTTGAAAAACGTTCCGCCGGCCCTGATGCGTGATATGCAATATCTTTT